GGCTTTCCCATTGGAAAGCACCTTGCGGTTCATAACTCACTTCAGGAGTGAGTACAGTTATTAAGGAAGAGAGAAGCCGTGCGGTATAATGGAGCTTAGAGGAGCCGTTCAACAAGCAGGTCTGGAGCACACGCCGGGACACGGAGTGCTGGCGAGGAGTGGAGCCGCTGGACGCTCCCAGCCAGCGGAAAACTGCTTGGCAGAGCCTGCTGTGCTGCACACACACCTGCCCCATGGCCTGGCAGTCCTGCCCCTGGGGATATCCCCGTGTCCACCAGATGACACGGACCAGAATGTCCCCAGCAGTGCTCTTCACCAGAGCCCCAGCCAGATGGGGTCCACAGACTCCAGTGAGCGTATGCAGTGCGCTGCCACTCAGCAAGCACAAGACACACTGTAGCGACATGCAAAGCGGGAGGAGTTCAGAGACGCAATGCTGAACGGAACCCTGCCTGGTCCCACTGCCTGAGGGGCCGGAACAGGGGACCCTGCTCAGCGCCTACAGGAGTCCAGGCAGCAGTCCCCTGGGAGGGGGTGGTGACTGCTCTCTGGGTCCTGGAAATGCTCTGTATTGTGAGCTGGGTAGTGGGTTCCTGGATGGAGACACATGTAAAACTCCATGGAGATTAAACTTAAGGCTTGTGCACCTTAGTCACTATATGTAAGGTTGTGTCTAAAGCAACAATAATACTCCAGGTCTAATGTCCACTGCTCCTGCCCCGGCCCTGACTACTGGCTGCTGGTCTCCCCCTTAGAAGTGTTGTGCTGTGCAGGTGCTGGGGGCTGTGCAGGTGCTGGGGGCCGTGCAGGTGCTGGGGGCTGTGCAGGTGCTGGGGACTGTTCAGGTGGGGACTGTGCAGGTGCTGGGGGCTGTGCAGGTGCTGGGGGCCGTGCAGGTGCTGGGGACTGTGCAGGTGCTGGGGGCTGTTGTGGTGCTGGGGGCTGTGCAGGTGCTGGGGGCTGTGCAGGTGCTGGGGGCTGTGCAGGTGCTGGGGGCTGTGCAGGTGCTGGGGGCTGTGCAGGTGCTGGGGGCTGTGCAGGTGCTGGGGGCTGTGCAGGTGCTGGGGGCTGTGCAGGTGCTGGGGGCTGTGCAGGTGCTGGGGGCTGTGCAGGTGCTGGGGGCTGTGCAGGTGCTGGGGGCTGTGCAGGTGCTGGGGGCTGTGCAGGTGCTGGGGGCTGTGCAGGTGCTGGGGGCTGTGCAGGTGCTGGGGGCTGTGCAGGTGCTGGGGGCTGTGCAGGTGCTGGGGGCTGTGCAGGTGCTGGGGGCTGTGCAGGTGCTGGGGGCTGTGCAGGTGCTGGGGGCTGTGCAGGTGCTGGGGGCTGTGCAGGTGCTGGGGGCTGTGCAGGTGCTGGGGGCTGTGCAGGTGCTGGGGGCTGTGCAGGTGCTGGGGGCTGTGCAGGTGCTGGGGGCTGTGCAGGTGCTGGGGGCTGTGCAGGTGCTGGGGGCTGTGCAGGTGCTGGGGGCTGTGCAGGTGCTGGGGGCTGTGCAGGTGCTGGGGGCTGTGCAGGTGCTGGGGGCTGTGCAGGTGCTGGGGGCTGTGCAGGTGCTGGGGGCTGTGCAGGTGCTGGGGGCTGTGCAGGTGCTGGGGGCTGTGCAGGTGCTGGGGGCTGTGCAGGTGCTGGGGGCTGTGCAGGTGCTGGGGGCTGTGCAGGTGCTGGGGGCTGTGCAGGTGCTGGGGGCTGTGCAGGTGCTGGGGGCTGTGCAGGTGCTGGGGGCTGTGCAGGTGCTGGGGGCTGTGCAGGTGCTGGGGGCTGTGCAGGTGCTGGGGGCTGTGCAGGTGCTGGGGGCTGTGCAGGTGCTGGGGGCTGTGCAGGTGCTGGGGGCTGTGCAGGTGCTGGGGGCTGTGCAGGTGCTGGGGGCTGTGCAGGTGCTGGGGGCTGTGCAGGTGCTGGGGGCTGTGCAGGTGCTGGGGGCTGTGCAGGTGCTGGGGGCTGTGCAGGTGCTGGGGGCTGTGCAGGTGCTGGGGGCTGTGCAGGTGCTGGGGGCCGTGCAGGTGCTGGGGGCTGTGCAGGTGCTGGGGGCTGTGTAGGTGCTGGGGACTGTGTAGGTGCTGGGGACTGTGCAGGTGCTGGGGGCTGTGCAGGTGCTGGGGGCCGTGCAGGTGCTGGGACTGTACAGGTGCTGGGGGCTGATGCAGGTGCTAGGACTGTGCAGGTGCTGGGGACTGTGCAGGTGCTGGGACTGTGCAGGTGCTGGGGACTGTACAGGTGCTGGGACTGTGCAGGTGCTGGGGACTGTACAGGTGCTGGGACTGTGCAGGTGCTGGGGACTGTACAGGTGCTGGGACTGTGCAGGTGCTGGGGACTGTACAGGTGCTGGGACTGTGCAGGTGCTGGGGACTGTACAGGTGCTGGGACTGTGCAGGTGCTGGGGACTGTACAGGTGCTGGGACTGTGCAGGTGCTGGGGACTGTACAGGTGCTGGGACTGTGCAGGTGCTGGGGACTGTACAGGTGCTGGGACTGTGCAGGTGCTGGGGACTGTACAGGTGCTGGGACTGTGCAGGTGCTGGGGACTGTACAGGTGCTGGGACTGTGCAGGTGCTGGGGACTGTACAGGTGCTGGGACTGTGCAGGTGCTGGGGACTGTACAGGTGCTGGGACTGTGCAGGTGCTGGGGACTGTACAGGTGCTGGGACTGTGCAGGTGCTGGGGACTGTACAGGTGCTGGGACTGTGCAGGTGCTGGGGACTGTACAGGTGCTGGGACTGTGCAGGTGCTGGGGACTGTACAGGTGCTGGGACTGTGCAGGTGCTGGGGACTGTACAGGTGCTGGGACTGTGCAGGTGCTGGGGACTGTACAGGTGCTGGGACTGTGCAGGTGCTGGGGACTGTACAGGTGCTGGGACTGTGCAGGTGCTGGGGACTGTACAGGTGCTGGGACTGTGCAGGTGCTGGGGACTGTACAGGTGCTGGGACTGTGCAGGTGCTGGGGACTGTACAGGTGCTGGGACTGTGCAGGTGCTGGGGACTGTACAGGTGCTGGGACTGTGCAGGTGCTGGGGACTGTACAGGTGCTGGGACTGTGCAGGTGCTGGGGACTGTACAGGTGCTGGGACTGTGCAGGTGCTGGGGACTGTACAGGTGCTGGGACTGTGCAGGTGCTGGGGACTGTACAGGTGCTGGGACTGTGCAGGTGCTGGGGACTGTACAGGTGCTGGGACTGTGCAGGTGCTGGGGACTGTACAGGTGCTGGGACTGTGCAGGTGCTGGGGACTGTACAGGTGCTGGGACTGTGCAGGTGCTGGGGACTGTACAGGTGCTGGGACTGTGCAGGTGCTGGGGACTGTACAGGTGCTGGGACTGTGCAGGTGCTGGGGACTGTACAGGTGCTGGGACTGTGCAGGTGCTGGGGACTGTACAGGTGCTGGGACTGTGCAGGTGCTGGGGACTGTACAGGTGCTGGGACTGTGCAGGTGCTGGGGACTGTACAGGTGCTGGGACTGTGCAGGTGCTGGGGACTGTACAGGTGCTGGGACTGTGCAGGTGCTGGGGACTGTACAGGTGCTGGGACTGTGCAGGTGCTGGGGACTGTACAGGTGCTGGGACTGTGCAGGTGCTGGGGACTGTACAGGTGCTGGGACTGTGCAGGTGCTGGGGACTGTACAGGTGCTGGGACTGTGCAGGTGCTGGGGACTGTACAGGTGCTGGGACTGTGCAGGTGCTGGGGACTGTACAGGTGCTGGGACTGTGCAGGTGCTGGGGACTGTACAGGTGCTGGGACTGTGCAGGTGCTGGGGACTGTACAGGTGCTGGGACTGTGCAGGTGCTGGGGACTGTACAGGTGCTGGGACTGTGCAGGTGCTGGGGACTGTACAGGTGCTGGGACTGTGCAGGTGCTGGGGACTGTACAGGTGCTGGGACTGTGCAGGTGCTGGGGACTGTACAGGTGCTGGGACTGTGCAGGTGCTGGGGACTGTACAGGTGCTGGGACTGTGCAGGTGCTGGGGACTGTACAGGTGCTGGGACTGTGCAGGTGCTGGGGACTGTGCAGGTGCTGGGGGCCGTGCAGGTGCTGGGGGTCGTGCAGGTGCTGGAGGCCATGCAGGTGCCAGAGGCTGTACCTGAGGGCAAAGAGCCAGAGCTTCTCAAACTGGAGGAGAAAGGATATGGCCCTCTGGAGGCATTCTTGTCTGGGGACTTTTGAACAAGGGGCAGAATTTGGTGTAGGGCTTATTTCCATGGAAATGCACTCCCAATAGCAAAGTTCTTGGGATGGAGATATATAGCTCCTGTTCAATTTCAACTGCTGGAGATTATCTATATTTTATTTTTTAAATATGTTTTTATTGATTTGAGAGAGAGAGGAAAGGAGAGGGAGAGAGATAGAAACATCGATCGGCTGCCACTTGCATGCCCCCTATTGGGGATCGAGCCCACAACCCGGGCATGTGTCCTGACCAGGACTCCAACAGGAGATCTCTTGGTGCGGGGTCAACACGCGGCACCGAGCACACTGGCCGGGCTGTCTATATTTTAGTATAACAAAATGGCGGAGGTTGGGAGGAACAAAGTAATAACAAGTAAAGGTTGGCTTAACCCAGTTCACCATACACAGCAAGTGAGGATGAGTCAACCTTAGACAGAGGCAGTGCTGGGCCTTGAGTTCCAGTCCTGCCAAGAACTTCTGCAGTGCCAGGCTGGTGTGGCTCAGTGGTTGAGCATCTACCTATGAACCAGGAGTGTGGGATGTGCAGGAGGCAGCCAATTGATGATTCTCTCTCATCATTGATGTTTCTGTCTCTCCCTCTCCCTTCCTCTCTGAAATCAAT